GCAACGCTGTACAGAAACATGGCATAGAGACCGCGACACTGGGTACTGAAAAACAAAATACACAGAGATAGAAAACAATATTTTTTGCTCTTTACAAAACAATATCAAAACAGTAGAAACAAAACATGTATATGAAAGCGAGCCATGGCCGCCGCTCTGTCAGAGCCGAGTTTTACCGGACCGGTTTGCCAGCCGGAGTCACTGCTCGGCTGCGCACATACTACATATAGCGCACTTCGCGCCAAGGAACAATATTATTTACATTCGCCTCCGACGCCAATGCGGTCCAGACACCTCACAGTTTACGGCGAGGGCAAATCGTGTACGATACAATAGCCAGTGGCACCTAGACAACGTCTTTAATGAGTTAGCTCGTATGGGACGGGATTTAGTCGAAAAACCTGTACAAATGATAACCGTTCATTTATTTATTTTTTTATTTATTTGATTCATCATCCACAGGCATAGAAACCCAATAATGGACGAAGTCTTATATAAAAACGCTGCACACATGCAGCACCATAAGCACGCACATCACACACGTCTCACACACATACATACACTCTCTAAGTCGTATTACGCTGAGCGGTCTGACGGACGGTACGTCTCCACTGATAGGAGCTTTGGTGCCATATATCGGCCTCTCGGCTGACATTTATCAGCTCGTTGCAGGCTTCCGGGATGCGGACAAACAAGCCGCGCTTAATAGTGTTGACCCTTGCGTAGGGGACATGAAATAAGGCCGGCCTGCGCACGTTCCTCGCCGGCACGGCGAGAGGCAGATGCTGCAGGAGGTACGACGAGTCTATGACCTGACGGTGGACATTTCTAATAAACATGAGGTCATGTTGTCTACGCCGACGCGATAGGTTTTCCAAACCAAACTGTTGCTCCAGCACGTCGTATCGCACGGGCACATCAGTGAATCGACAGCGAACGCGGAGCCACGTCATGAACTTGTGCTGTATGCGCTCTAATCGCAGCAAATGAGTGGCGGCCGCGCCTCCCCAAATAACACTGCCGTACTCGGCTATCGATCTCACGTTCGCACAGTACGAGGTGATAATCGCCTGAGAGTCACATCGATAGAGTGACCGGCCGTGCTTCCCTGTCTGAAACGAGCGGATTAGGAGACCTAGCGCCCTGTTTGCTTTGCGCACTGTGCAGTCAATGTGGTCAGCAAACGTCAGTTTTTCATCAAGCACAATGCCTAAGTCTCGCATTTCCGTCACTCTACCCAGGGACTCGCCGCCTAAAGTGTATAGGTATGCCGGTGATTCGAGCGCGACGAAGTGAAAATGACAACACTCTGCACTTGCTGGTGTTGAGGGACATGTACCACTGCTGTGACCAGTCGCACAGAGCATCTATCTGTCTTTGTAAGAAATCACAGTCCGCCTGGCGCTCTATCCTGTGATACAGTTTCACATCATCGGCAAACATCAGACATTTACAACTCACAGCATCAGGTAAATCATTGATAAAGCACGCACATGATGATAAAGCAAGCATTCAATAAAAAGATCAACAGTTTTGAGTAGGTGCTTAGCAAATACATTCATGCCAACTTCAAAGAAAAATACGGGCATGTGATAGTTTGTCCAAAGTTATGCAGACGTCTGCTTCTTGTCACTTTCTGTGGATTGTGGAACCTTAACAGAAGTTTGAATGGGGCGCCAGACAAGTCACGGGACACGAGGATTATCCTGAAACCGATTCCCAAGCCAACCTTATTTCTAGGTGGTCCAGACTGGCACAAACGTGGTCCAATTCTATTCGTTGTAGTTTTCCATATCAAATTTCGCCTATGTTTTAACCCTCGCCCCGTTGGGGGGGGGCCATTTTGGCCCCCCCCTGTGGTTTTTCCTGAATAGCAAGAAAACGGCGGCGCGCAGCGCCGCCAAATTTTCAGTACCTTTCCGGGCATCAATTTGACACCTTCACACCAAATTTCAAGTCTTAGGTCACCTTAGGTCAGGAGTTATTGAGGTCAAACTGAGGTCATGTTCGAGCAAAAATGAGCAAAAAACATGCAATCTTGAAACGCTCACCAAATCTACAGTTATCAAGCAATTTCAAAGTTCTTTATATGGTCTAATAGACAAAAAGCGGCGCTACAAAACTGCTATTTTGGATTTTCAAAATTTTGGGTTTTTGACCCAAAAAAATCCGAAAAATTGATTTTTTTAGAAAAACTAAAAAAAAATCCAAAATTTTTCCGAATTTCGAAAAAAACCGGAATATATGTGATAGTCCCTGCGCTCTTCTATATACATACCAAATTTCAGATCGATATCTCGTTTTTTGGCCAAGTTATAGCGAAAACACTGTTCAAAAATGATGACGTCAAATTTTTGAACTCAATTTTTAGCGATTCTAGACCTCGTACGGCAAAACAAAGACCACCATTGAACTCCCCGTGACGAGCTGCATCGATTCGATACCCATTTTATGCAAAAATATCAACTTTGAAATTTGACCTTATTTGACCTGACCTTGACCTGACCTTGACCTGACCTTGACCAAAACGTGACCTAAGCTGGCCCCAAAGGCTGCCTGACCCACATAATCGCATTTGTCATGTAAAATGGACCATAAAACATGTATCACACGACACTTTCATATTGTGACCCCCCAGTGACCTGACCTCAGTGACCTGACCTGGTATCAGTGACCTCAACTAGCAAAATATGTGTTTGAAGAACATTTCCCCATCGATGATTTTCAATGAAATGCATTTTACTCGATTTTACAACGCATTTCTTGAAATGCCTGTAAACGGTGAAAATTGGACCTTTGACCTGACCTGTGACGTCATCGGTTTGACCTAGGTCAATAAAATTGGGTCACAAGGTAGTTCCCTGATAGGGCTATCCAACACCGTTTGCCGCTTGTCGCTACGTTGCGTGGTTCTCGAGATCTTAGGGGGGGGGGCCAAAATGGCCCCCCCCCCCAACGGGGCGCGTTGCTCGGCAGAGCCCAACGGGGCGCGGGTTAAGCCACTGAAGTTTGACGGAGATGGCTTAAAGCGTTTAGAAAATATTGACGAAACACTAGGGGCATGTTCTGCCCCCCCCCCCCCCCACCCAGTGCGGATGAAGCTCAGACCTGCCCGATAAACTCGCCAAATCCGACAGTGTTCGTACTCCGCCGATCAGCCTCGACTCTCGCAGCCGATGGACCCCCCTGCCTGGTGGGGCCGCAGTCACCCGCGCTCAACTCCGACCATCAGCCAGCCCCGGTCAACTTCGTGTCATGGCACACCCTGCATCTCTGTCCTCGCATAAATGTACAATGTACATGTCCGCCGGATCTTTTCACTAATGTTGTAGGCCTCACCGGGAATTTCTGGGGGCCTTGTTTGCTGCGCATTGTCCTACCAGAAGGTCGAAACCGACTATGCTAAATACTTTGCGATGATAGTGTGACCTCCTCCGCGGTTTGACAAGGGGCGCAGGCCCTGTATCAGGGAGGTGGTTTCATGTTCTGCGGGTCGTTTCGGGTGCAGCGCTGCTGACGGGTTGGCATTGTCGAGGTGCATCGGACACGCCAATGCACATTGGAAATATGTTTGCGATATAGAGCGACGGCGGACCCAGGGGAAATGCCTCCCCGCAGCGCCCGAAAGCGACCAAAATTTATTATTTTTCGACAATAAAACGAAAACTAAACAACTTTTATGGGGAATGAAGTGTCTTAATCTGCACAGCAAAACGTAATAAATCGAAATCCGATGAGTTTTTGGAATTAGAAGAAACTTTTATTGGGGTGTATCCCCCGGCAGCGTCCAAGACCGCCTTCCCGGATCCACTAGTGCACGATTTTATAAGCATTGAACAATCTACTGGCAACAACATAACCGAATTCAAAAACTTAGTCATATGGCCTTTTGATGAGATCACCACTTCCGAATATACATTGTTATCAATTTGAGTCAGGGAAATAGGCACCGCATGTTGTGTTTAAAGTTTTAGGTCAAAATCAAGGTCACGCTCAAAATTGACCTCAAGCTTTACACTTTTTCAGATAGCGTAGGTAGGAGGGTTGATACCGAATTCGCTTTGAAACGCTTTGAAATATTTTCTAGATATCCAGGTCCCTGTTTGAGATTTATGTATTTACGATGCTAGGCTGCCCCAAGGTCAAAGTCATGCAAGCGTATCCTCGCTAGAGGCTATTTTACGGATTCAAGTCAGCCATTATAGTTAACACAGTCACTTTTGCTATACTGGGGCTCTAAAGGAATGTTTGGAGCAGAAAGGATGCCATATTCTTGATCAGAGGCTACGAATACATCATATAAGACCTAGCATGTGTCAAGGTCATCCAAAGCTATCAAAGGTCATTCCAGGCCACATAAGGTCAACTTAAAACTTGACCTTTTTCAAAGAACTTGTCCACCGTTTGGAAAGTTTTGACGAGCCGTGCATTGCAACCTCTCTCTTAGCTCTAGGAGCATTTTCGTTTAGGTTGTTGGTTAAAAAAATTAAAACCTTAGCTTGTGGTCTTTGACCTGATCTCTGAGGTCTTCTGTTGATTTGGGGCTCTAAGTATATTGCTGACCTTGATCATGCTATCAGTACCTATATGTGGGTGTAAAAATTAAATGCCAGGCGAGTAAGAATAGTCATATACAGCGGACGCATCTTGATATGAAACATGAATGAAAATTGGCGTGACGGAAGAGTATTTGACGAATACCTGTCCGACTTTGGTCGTGGAATTTGGGCTGGTGCCGGCAGCCTGGAGTCGTCGAGTCTGAACTGGGGAGCCAGGAGTCTGTACCTACATTCGCATGTGGTTAGACCCGTTCCCTGACTCGATGCATGGCAGCATTATGTCGGTCAGTGTATGAAACCTACTTGTGTGGAAATTGTCATGCATGGTTTGGCTGTGTCGCAGTCCACTGACCCGCCACCGCTACATATTCAGCATCGATTATCGTGACCCTGAAACGGCACAGGGTGACCGTGAAAAGGGCCCCCGAATTCTGAGGGGCCAGAATATTTCCCGGAGCTCCGGCTCGGGATTGGTGCGACTGTTGTGCCATGTCCGGTGACAAAAGTCAGCCGATGTTCCGACCTCTGACCAGTTGAAGCCGCACACCCACAGAGGCAGGATGGCTGGCAGCTACCTTCCCTCGACTAGAGTCGCTCGACTGAGCTTGGTAGGTGAATCAGCCGGTTCATTTGTTCAATTGTGACTGGTTGCCTCTCAGTTTTGCTTAAACTGGCAATTTAATACCAACGAAGAACCGGTGTCAGTGTGCATGTGAATGGAGTTTTTTTTTTCTTGCGCATGGCTTAACCCTCGCCCGTATTGGTGTTTTTCCAGCCGCGAACGTATAAGGGGGGGGGGGGTCCGTTGGACCCTCTCCCCTTGCCGTTTCGCCCCTGATCGAGCTAGAGCTTCGCGGAAAAAAACGAGCGTGTTGCCCGTGACGAGAGGAAGCCGATGATACCTAATTTTAAGGTCCTAGGTCATTGGTTGACCTTGCAGGTCAGGTCAATGACCCAAAAGTCGGGAAAATCGGAACCTGTTAGAACGTCGTAAAGTGTGGCTGCTATGGGGTTTTTCGGGGCGCTGATCACGCATATCATGTTAGTTTTGATCACAGATGATTTCTTTATGCATTTAGTCCAGGTCGGGTCAGGTCAGGTCAGGTCAACCAGTAGGGGTCCTGCCGGGTATTCCTAGTAGGTGTCAACCGCCTCTGACAGCTTCATAACATGTTACGAAGGCACCAAAACTACTTCGTAAATGTTCATATGGTTGCTAAATTCGAATTCAGCTCCAAAAACTGGCCTAGAAACATGTAAAACTCGAAAAAGTGAACCGAGGTCACCAAAGGTCAATGACCTGACCTGACCTTCAGGTGACCTTGACACCCACCCTAATGCATGGGGGCAACATCATATCACATGTTTGAACGCTTGAAACCACGAAAAGACTGCAAACGCGCGGCTAATGCGAGCCGACATACGCCGAATCGCGATTCCGGCCAAACATGGTCTCGAAAAGTAGGTCACAGGTCAAAGGTCATTGGGGTCAGGGTCATGAAATTTTCAGGGTAGGTGTAAAATTGACTAACGCGAGGGTACTGAAAGTTTCGTCGCGATCGGCCGCTTTTTACGCGAGTTATTTGCGAAAAACCATGGGGGGGGGGTCCGTTCGACCCCCCTATACGGGCGAGGGTTAAGCTTCAAATTATTTCCAAATGTACCAATTATTTCAATAATATGTTTATGAAATACCTGATTATACATATCTCTTAAATTATCAGAATTAGTTAGTTTTGTTGTCTGAATAAGCCCATTAGGTACCATTGACCACCTTGGAGGACCATGCTGGAGCAGTACAATGGACTGAAGTGGGCGATTTATCCGAGTGGCACCTTGTGAAAGACCCGACCCGTTGACATGTTCTCCTGGGCGGACCGAGCCGCCGGCCGCTTTGCGTTTTAAGGTCGTTTCACACAGCTCAACTTCAGCCCCTGCTGTCAAATCCCATTTACCGGACATTCACAAGACTGAGGGCCCCGGCGCGGCTGTAGCCGTCTGTGCCGGCAGTTGACTTTCTAGTCTGTTTATCTGCTGTGTTCCGACGTTTCAATGTGTTTTCCGTCCGTTTCAGCTTCTGTTCATTCTCCAGTGCCAGCCGAGCGACGGTCAACTGTTCGTCGTTCGCCAGGCGGTGTATGATCCGAACTGGTGGAGAGACAATTCCTACGATTACAGGACTGACAGGGGAGAGGATAACGATTACGCCACTCAGAGTCAGGAAGACTATACTGACTATACAGACACTCAGCACTCTGAGGACTACCCCACGAAGCAGGTTTCTCCGTGTCTTGGAGCCTCCCAAGGCTTTGAGCTCAGGCCCAGAGCCGCCTTTGGTTGTGCTTGCCCTCCCGGCATGGAGCCATGTGGCGATGTGTGCTGCAAAACATACAGCCCTCAGCCGAGTTCGGTCGAGCCGTGGTGGGGTCTGGGACGGTAAAGCGGGACGGCAGGACACCCCGACCAGTCGTCTACCGTGCACCGCGGCTCGTCGGCTGCATCCATTTGTGTGATGTTTGAATTATTTACTTGATTATGTGCTAATACACGTTGTGTAAACCCTCTTACGTCTAGCCGGGCGGAGGAGGGAGGTGTTTAAACACCCCAACACCATGCCTGACTCGGCTCCTGAGCCACGTAGCGACCGACACGCGGTAACCGGCTTTCGAAAGAGCATGAAAGAATAAGGAAGAAAGTATTTCGGTTATTTTTTAGTACCTAAATATGCACGCCAGTATTTCTTCCCGTGAACTTTGTCTGTGTATAAGTCTTTCTAATTCAGGTGCATTGTTTGAAAAAAAATCTGTCAGTGAGCGTTGTAGAATTGATGTGTAAATGTATGTGCCCGGGAGCGTAATGATGTGTAACTAAAGTTTTCCGTGCGAGCCGTGGTTTGGACGTAACCCGTCTCCAGTCTTCCCAGTACGCAAGGCTATCCGTCAGAATTGTGATGTCTCTGTTCGCTGTATTCTGTCAGTAAGGATGCCGGTCGTCGTGGCACATACTGAATGCGAACTCGCTCATGGGTGCGTATTTTCCGTTTCCGCTTTCACCAGATGATCCCCATCGGGTGTATCCCGTTTTAGATTCCGCATGTATCGATGAGTTTATTGACCTTCGGCCTCGCGCGGCAATCTCAACATAGCCCTCGGTCCCGAATGAAAGAAACATTTTACCAGCCCCGTATGATATGGTATACGTATATTCCCATTATGTTTCCGTGTGTGTGTATATTGTTCATTTTGACAAATGTTCAGTTTAATGTAAAACAATATTAAATTCTTATCTGTATTCGATGTAAACGCGTTTCGATTATTTCTTTATCAATACATTGATGCAATACAGATATAATGAACATACACGATTCATTGTGGGAACGCGAGCGATGAGTTGATATTTCAAACTTAAGACGTTCGAAACCACAAAGATACAAGTTCTTTCGTTATTCATATAGAGGAGCAAAACCATTTACAAAAATGGAAAGACGCAAGGGTTCTATGGAGCGAAAAAAGAAAAATCGACGAAAAATGATCGAAGCTGCGGTGATTGAATGCGTGCCAAATATCAACTCGAAAAGAGGAGATTACTCATTGGCACCAATTTTGGGCAGAATATTATGGAGGGAACAGAAAGTTTCGCCACGTGAATAGGTCATAACGTTTGAAATATTAATCTTATCGCTCGCGTTCACCCACATTGAATCGTATGTGTTCAATTGTTCATTATATCTGTATTGCATCAATGTATTGATATAGGGGATTCTTCATGGCTCCGAGTGGAAGATAAGGATATCTTTTCCAAGCGAGAAAGACTTGCTGCAATGCCTAGATACTATTTGAATGGAATAGAAGTTCAGGTTGTCAATGAGTTCAAATATTTAGGCGTGCATATTTCGAATAAATGTACCTGGCAAAATCATGTACAACATGTCACTGGTAAAGCGAATCAGATGCTACGATTTATTAAGCGAAATTTCAAGGATTGCCCACAGGCTGTAAAGGAAATCATGTATTTGTCTCTTGTTAGGCCACATCTAGACTATGCCAGCTCTGTTTGGGACCCATGGGGAGAGGGCATGAAGCATGAGCTGGAAATGGTTCAAAGGCGTGCTGCTAGATTTATACTTAATGACTACGACCGACATAGCAGTGTTACTGACATGCTGGCCACAATAGGATGGGTATCCCTAGAAAGCCGACGTAGAGAGGCGAGATTATGCTTACTGTACAAATTACACCATGGCAACATGAAAGTAGATGTTAGTAGAATTATATGTGAACCTAGCTATATATCACGGAGTGATCACCCTAAAAAGATAGAGACTTCCGTCGAGATTACTTCAGTACCATAACTCGTTTTTCCCAAAAACCATAAGAGAGTGGAACCAACTTTTGCCCAGCATGATGGAAGCCGAATCTGTGGAAGATTTTCGGAAAAACGTTCAAACACATGTAAATTCGGCGTAAACGTGATTGATTGTAATTGAAATTGCTCATGAGTAATGCAGAATGAATCAATCTAAAATCAGTAGTAATGTGAGTAGGTATGTACTTGTGTGTATGTACTTGTGTGTATGTGCGATACTGATGTGTGCATGATGTGTGAACCAGATTTAACATCACCAGGGCCAACCGGCATTCGTGATTGTTGTAATACATGATACATGATACATGTCCTTAACACGCGCGGAAAAGATATCCGATCTTCCACTCGGAGCCATGAAGAATCCTGAATCCTCTATATCTTTTCTCGGGTTACTGAAAAACCGAGCGACGCAGGAGCGAGGTTTTTATGTAACACGAGAGGAAAAGATACCCGATCTTCCACGAGTGAGCCATGAAGAATCCTATATCTTTCTATGTTGAGGTTTATTCTTAGGTACTCAATTAAATATTATATTTAAATATATTCATCTATGCAAAACAAATTTAGAGCAGTTTGTTTTTAATTCATAAGTTTCATAAAATAGTTCGGTTATTGACGCATCATCACTTGAACGCTTGATTTTTGGCTATGAACCCTCGAGACTTTATTTTTGCATCTCAGAGGGCTGCAAAGATAACAAATTCTTATCTTTGCACCCCAGAGGAGTGCGAGATAGAAATATCCCTGCACTGTAGACTCAATTGCAAATAAAGCTCAACTAGAAAGATAAAGAAATAATCGAAACGCGTTTACATTGAATACAGATAGGAATTTGATATTGTTTTTCATTGAACTGAACGTGTGTGTGTTTCCCGTTTCCACTTTGGCCAGGTCTCCATTGCGTGTGTGTGTGGCGCTTCATTCCGCCTCTCGTTTCTATTCGTTTCGCCACCCCGTCCCCGTCAGACGCACACTATTTTTTATTATTTTATTGGCATAATACGCACGCTCCGGAGACACCCCAGGCAGCCGGCCGCCGGCGGGGTGGCCGCCCTGTCTCGGGCCCTGTGAGGCGGGCCGGCCACCCCTGCACCGGCCGGCCGTCGCAGCTGCCGCCATCTGTTCGCTCGGCGCCACGGGTGGCCCTGGCCGCGCACCACTCACACCGGTAGGTATATCTACACTGGCGCCGGACAGTGACGTCACCGGCGCCCGCGTGCAATGTAACAACTCAGACACGTACTCAAAGCCCAAAGCAGGTTGCGTGGCCGGCGCACGCCATTCTGGCCAGCAGAGCACATTGCGTACACGGTACAGAAAGGCCAATTTAGCGTCCACGCATATCCACCACCGTTTCAACCGCAATCCATATGAAAAATAACAAGGGGACCACCGGATTTCAAGTTCGCGCGTCATTTTCACCAAGCATTCGTCGGGCTACCCTTGACTAGACAATGTAGCATTCGGACAAATAGAGTAGGGGAGAGACAATCGCATATAGCTGGCGCGCGCGGGCGGAAAAGAGGATGATCGTACTGCAGTTTTGATCGGCAACAACGGCAGTGCTTGGTGGGTAGTCTAGAAGCCCCGATCCCAAGCAAAGCCCGGGGCTGAGCGGGCCGGCGCCGCCGGGCGCGTCGCTCCGCGGTGTGCAAGGGGCAATTTGCACTCCGGATGTGGCTCGGGGCGGCGCGGCGGCGCCGACCGGCTCTCCCCAACGCAACAACGGCCCATACACAAACACAGCGGCGCGGCGCGGCGCCAACACAAGCGCGCTCCACAGGTGGGCAGGCCTCCCTCGTCCTCGGTGAATACGCGCGCGCGCTGCGGCGGCTCTGGCGGCGGCCGCCGCAGGCTCCAGTTCGTGGTGGCGGCGGCAGGTGGCGCGCGCGGCGCCCCGCCCCACTCCCGTTCGCACGGCACACTCGCTTTCTCTCCGTCTGCCGCGCATCAATCAAACTAGTATCGGTAAAAGTCGAGTCCGTGCTCCGCATCAGTACTGGCGATTGGGTCACTGTTCTCTATCGCGGCCGCCGGTCACCGCCAGGTGGCAGGCCAGTCGCGGCCGCCGGTCGCCGCCAGGTGGCAGTTCGGTCGCGGCCGCCGGTCGCCGCCAGGTGGCGGTGGCGGCGCGCGGCGCTCAGTCCTCGGTCTCGACTATCTCTCGCGACTCGGTGCCATCGGCGTCGGTGGTGATGCGCTCAGTGACGGTGCGCGTCACCGGCCGTCCCTCGTCGTCAAAGGTCGTCTGAGTGCGGGTCTCCGTGCGGACCATTCTGCCGACACACGGAGAGGCACGCGATTAGCAGTCGACTAACATCAGAGACACACATGGAAGGGCAGACAGACACGGAGGGACGGACAAAGTCATGGCAGGAGGGTCAGATACATGTAGATACAGCGTCAGAAAGATGGAGTTAAATTCAGATCAGATATAGCGATTTAACTACACGAGACACATGCGCACATGAGACCGAAAAGAGTCTGAAGGAACACTGAGAGATAACACAAATATGCGAGATCTGCGAGGCAATACGCGCATTTAACAACCTCTCTTATCGCTCCGTCAGGTCACAATTAGGCCTCTGGTGGGGGTGGGGGGTGGTGTCTCACCTTCTGAGTGTGGGTCCCTGGCCTGAGGTGCCCTCGACGAGCTCTGAAAACATTGCTGGTGACTCCGCTGGGTCGCCTGAGGACACAGCGCACAGTGGGTTAACACCCTGCCGTGGGGCGGCACACGGGGTGCTATGGGGACGGCGGGAACCGGCACAACCAGCGCACATAGATCAGCTGCAGGGTGTGATTTTTATATCATACTTTATTATTGAACAACTTAATCAATTCATAGTAAACTTCAATGGGAGCAAAATGCAAATGAAGAATTACTGACCCTTACGAAATAAATATGAATTTAAATGAAAACAAATTGACCGATGGAACTGAAAACTGCAATCGTAAAGCAAAGAAAAAGTTGAACGTAAATTATCCCATATAATTCTACATAAGGGCTCAGTGAGCACGGGAAGGCATTCTTTTGATGCGGCAAGAGCCGTTAACTGATGAGAAGACCGTAACGCAACGGTAAGACCTGGCTTGTGCCGAAAACAACTAATTTATCTTTCTTTCTCAAAACCGAACGGCCGCCTTCCCGGCCATTGAGCGGCCTCTTGGTTCGCCCATGGACCCCGGACACGTAGTGTTAGCCACGCGGCGCAAAGCGAAGAGTTGTGTTAGTGGCGCCCGTCTCTCAGGGCTCGTGGCGCGGGGGTTAGCTGCATGCACCATCATTGCATGCCGCACCACTCACAGCTGTGGTAAGATCGACCACAAAACGATCGCACAGAAACACTACCAAACACCTGAAAATGCACTACATGCCAACAAAATCAACAATCGTCAATCAAACACCACAAAGTCACTAAACTAAGGTCATCCAAACAGTCATCGAAGAGAATGCACCAGAACACAAATCCAAAACACCCGAAACGACTTGGTCACAATGAGAACCGATCCACACAATCCCAAATCGAACCCCACACGGACAGCACGGGCTACAGTGACCTCCATAACGGCACACTGCGGACCGAGACAGCACAGCAGCACCGGTGACGTCAGCAATGACGTCATGCACAGACAGGGACCCGAGGAGAGCAGAGACCGGTACAGAGGCCGGTAATTGGGTGGAAAGGTCGGTACATCTGGACCCGAGGTGAAACAGGCAGAGATTCAGGAGGGACTAGGTATGAGAGGTTTACATCGGTTCTGCTCTCTTTTGATGCGGGCAGTTTATCATAACTAAGTCATAAATTTAGCCGTTTTCAATGTCTTCTTATTGGTGAGCAGCGTTCAAGAACACGGGATGAATAAGCGACTAAGACGGTCAAGCCGGGATAGGATGTAGGGTTGACGCGAAAGACATAAGCAATTTAGACAGACGCAATATTACTCCAAGGGGAACAACAAGCAGTACCTATATATTTA